TAAAAAAAAATGTTTTAGTAAACATCAGTTGTATTTACACACACATATAAATTATACATGTGTAGCACCATGCAGACATTTATTATGTAGATTACCAAAAATGTGTGAAGGAAAGAAGAGCCCCAAAGAAAGACAAGTAGATACAGCCATGGTTTTTAAATCGATAAACAGGAACAGTCATACCCACAAACCTTTGTGACACCTTTGCAAAAAGGGCTCTCACTAAATCATAATCAGTTAGTGGTGAACTTCATGTGAGACTTTACATCACAGGCTTTTTTTTTTTTAAGAGTTAATTAATTTATTTGAGAGACAGCACAAGCAATGGGAGCAACAGAGGGAGAGGAAGAAGCAGGCTCTCCACTAAGCAGGGAGCCCCCAGACAAGGGCCGTGATCCTAGGACAGCTTGATCCCAGGATTCCAGGATCATGACCTGAGCTGAAGGCAGACGCTTAACCGACTGAGCCACCCAGGCACCCCACATCACAGGCTTTTTATGTAGATGGTGGCAGAGAGTGTAGTGCTTAAAAGGAAAGTTCTGGTCCCACTTCTTGAGTGTGGTTCCGTGACTTCCCTACTTACCTGGAGTGTGATTCGGGGCACGGTAACTAATATTCTAGGCCCTGACTTCCTCCTTTCTAAAACAGGAATAACAGTATTTTGCAAGTTGGTGTAAGAATTAAACAATAAGGGCTGCCTGGGTGGCTCAGTGGGTTAAGCCTCTGCCTTCAACTCAGGTCACAATCTCAGGGTCCTGAGATTGAGTCCCGAATTGGGCTTTCTGCTGGGTGGGGAGACTGCTTCCTCCTCCCTCTCTCTCTCTCTCTCTCCCTGTCTGCCTACTTGTGATCTCTCTCTGTCAAATAAATAAAATCTTTAGAAAAAAAAAAAGAATTAAACAATAAGACCTATAAATTGCTTATCCCCGTGCCTAGCACACATAGGCCTTCAGTAAATATTCACTGCTATCTCCATAGGGTTCCATTTCCAAAGGAAAATCATATGGCATATTAATAACCAGAAACTGGATTCTGCAAGCTCAAAGTCATTTGTTTGACCAGGCCTAAGCGGGTCTTTTGATTTTAAGTGTGATAAGTGAATAATTTAAACTGTTTCTGGTGTTGGGTGAAGGTTCTAAAACAGAGGTTTTCAGCCTTGGCTGCACGTTGGAATCACCCAGTTGATTTAAAACCTTTGCTACCCATGTTCCAGCCCAGATTAATTAAATCAGAGTCTCTGGGGGTGGGAGCAAGACATCAGAGTAGCCTTAACAATCCTCAGGAGATTTCAATGAAGAACCAAATAGGGTTCTCATTTGTTCTAACATTCTGAAACCAGATGGAGTTGCATTATCAGTAGGGAAGTAGCTCAGAACTAAAGTCCTTCTGAGGAGGAGGAAGAGGAGGACACAGTGCCACAATGGCTTTCCACGAGAGGCTGAAAGGATTCTTTCTATAGAAGATGAATCTAGGGTGCCTGGGTGGCTCAGTGGGTTAAGCCTCTGCCTTCGGCTCAGGTCATGGTCTCAGGGTCCTGGGATCGAGCCCCACATCGGGCTCTCTGCTCAGCAGGGTGCCTGCTTCCCTTCCTCTCTCTCTCTGCCTGCCTCTCTGCCTACTTGTGATCTCTGTCTGTCAAATAAATAAAATCTTTTTTTAAAAAAAAAAAAAGAAGATGAATCTAAAGAACACTGAGTTTCATCCAGATCACTTTGTAGGTATCAAAACAAACGCTATATACTTAGCAAAGCCCTACAGAGCAAGGCTGTCCTAAGAAATTAGGAGGCCAATACCTTATCCGTTAGGCTACTGGGGCAAGGCTATCCTAAGAAATTAAAACTCACTTGACTTGTGTAGATTTTTCTCATAGCAAATTAGTGTATGCAAGAACATGTATAAATTCTATCAGCCTCTGAGGCTGATTTCCAGAATATCACTGAAATGTTGCTAATTAATTGACCTCTCAGTTGTGTCAGCCTTTACTTAAAATCTAGGATCAGCTGGAGGGGGAGGGAAATGTGGAGTTATGGCTTAATGGGCATAGGGTTTCAGTTTGGGGTGATGAAAAAAGGTTCTGGAAATGGATGGTGGTGAGCCAGTCAGGGGCAGCCACAAAAGGAGCACAGGAGAGGCTCAGGAAAATAAAGTTTATCCTACTCACAGGTCCTAGGAGCAGGAAACACTGCACAACACCAGGGCCACAAGGGAAAATAGTAGCGTAGGTCAGGAGGTGGAAGGAGGAGGAACAGAAGGACAGCTTGGGCCTCTACCAAAGAATATTGCCTCCTGGGATAGAGGACCAGATGAAAGGGGGGGGCGGTTGGCTTGGTTACTCTGCATATCAAAGGACTGCTTTAGGCAAGCACTTCCCTGTCTCCTAAGAATGTAGCCCTGATAATACATTTTATACACACACACACACACACACACACACACACACATATAAAGAATGTAGCCCTGGGGAGGGGCAATCTCTTCACAGCCAGAAAGATTTTAAGATGTCAAAAAACTTTATATACAAAAAATAAAAAACATAGACAATATAGTTGCACAACAATATAAATGTACTTAATGCCACTGATGATACACTTGAAAATGGTTAAATTGGAAGATTTTATGCTAGGTATATTTTACAATTAAAAACAATCCCAGGGGGTGCCCGGCTGGCTCAGTTGGTGAAGGATCTGCCTTCAGATAAGTTCATGATCCCAGGAGCCTGGGCTCAGCAGGAATTCTGCTTCTCCCTCTGCTTGTGCTCCTCTCTCTGTCAAACAAATAAATAAAATCTTTAAAAATGAATAAATAAATAAATAAAAATAAAAACAAACTCAGGATCCACAGTATCAAAAATGGTGGACTCTAGGCAAGAGACAAGAACCAAAGGGAAAACATGGGGAGGTAGGAGAAGACAAAACTTACATGAGGAACTTCAAGGGTCAGTTTCCCAGTGTCAAAGAAGAAATGGTCTTCTACAAAATCTTGACCACCTCCTGAAATGCAAATTTTAAGCATTTCTAAAAATTACCCAGCATAGTGGTTGAAAAGGAAAAGAAACAAATAGCACAGAATTGCTCCATCCTCTAAAACCATTTTTCACTTCTCATTGCTCTGTCACCCTCTCATGAGATCAGGAACTATGATACCACGGAAGTCATTTACCAGTGAAAACCTGACTCATCTCCACGTGTGACACCGGAGTGCTGAGCCTTCTCCCTATTGCCCAGTATGGCTGGCCAGTTCACTGTCATCGTACACTGTGGCGAAGCTCAATCATAAATTCCCCTGCAGACTTTTTCTCCAACAGAGTGGCAGTTGTATGTGTGTGTGGTAACGAATATACTTGAATCTATCAGACTTCTGTACGCTCTCATCCCGAATAGCTAAACTCCCAGATCGCTTCTTAGGTATACCATATAAGTAAGTATTGTATATTTCTCAGCCAAAATAGTTTGGCTGACAAGAAAATGATTGCTTCTTTGCGTGTTCCCCCCAACTTTCCTCTTCTCTGTATAATCAGGGAAATCCACCATCCCTTCTTCTTTTTCCTTGCTCATGTGCCAAGCCTTTCCTCCATTCCCTATTCCAAGATTCTCTGGCATAAACACCTATGGCTGCCAAACCTTCCCGCTCTTGTCCTAACATAAGCAACCCGAAGATGACTACTCTTCTCCTTCCCTGCAATGTGCTTTGTGTATCCAATTGCCAGATGTCTGCAGAATAAGTACCAGGGGGAAAGGAAATAAACCATTCCTTTTTCTGGCAAAGGAGTGTGGAGGAATGAAGTTGTAGCTCTCTAAGGCACAGGTTCCCACGCGTAAGAAAGTCCCTAGAGCATTACAAAGAAATTGGTTTCAAAGATTGTGTACGAGGGGCACCTGGTGGCTCAGTCGGTTAAGCATCTGCCTTCAGCTCAGGTCATGATTCCAGGGCCCTGGGATGGAGCCCTGAGTCCAGCTCCCTGCTCAGTGGGGAGTCTGCTTCTCCTCCCTCTCCCCCCAACCCCTGCTCCTATACTCTCTGTCTCTCTCTTTCTCTGTGTATTTTAAAAATTAAAAAAAAAAAAAAAAAAAAAAAAAGACTGGGAGTGATTTTCATTTGTTTTCCTCTTTCTGTAAGCTGTGTCATGTTTGATCTTTATCGAGCATGTATTTTTCCTTTCAATCTGACCAAAAAGCTGCATTGATCCCCAAATATATAAGGAATCACAAAATAGCTGGTATACCCACTTGAAAACAGCAGTCAGCGTGCAAAGATGTGTCAGGTTTCCAGTATTTGGGACATTGTTCTAAAGGCCTTTGTTCTAATATAGGCTATCTGAACATGGCCCATGGTTGAGCCCTTTACTAGTTCAAGGAAGTTGGAATTCATGTCCTGACTCTGCCAACTAAGCAGCTCTGGGAACTTGGGCAAGTCACCTAGCTTCTCTGCATGTTGGTGTCCTCACTGATAATCTGGAGGTTTGGACAACATTGTGGGGTACTTACTGAGCAAGCACTGTTTTAATTTACGTACACATACTACTTCCTGTCAACCTCCCAACAAACCTAAGTAGGTACTGCTCTCATTATCACCCATTTTAAAGATGTAGTAACTGAGGCAGAAAGAGTTTAGTTTTCTTTCCTGTGGTTCCAGAGCTATATATGCATCCAGGATTGAAACCCAGGCAGTCCCATGTCCAGAACCCATGCTCTAGGTACCTTTTTTCACTGGACTGTGATAATTAAATCAGATTAAATATTTGGACGTAAATGTAATATATTGTTATTACCTCTCCTGAAGTTCACTTTCTCATCTGTCAAAAGGAGACAATACTTACATTTCACAGATTTTGTCAGGAATAAACATGGAAATCTACAGAGATTTCACTACCCATCTGTCACCACCCCTGGCCCACAAAAAAACACGTTTTGCTCTTAAATCCTAAGAAATTGCACACACTCTAAGCCTGTCTATGGCTGCAATATAAAACTAATATCATTTTTCTTCTTTGCTTCTTACAGATTTTTGCATATATGGATCAAACCTCATCCCAAAAAAACAAGTGGGACCTCCAAGCTCTTAGATTTTTATCCATCAATTCAATAATTGACCCTTGGGTCTTTGCCATCCTTAGGCCTCCTGTTCTGAGACTAATGCGTTCAGTCCTCTGTTGTCGGGTTTCATTAAGAACACGAAATGCAGCACAGACTTCCTGTTCTATACAGTCAAATGCCAGTAAGTAGATTGACCTTCCCTGACAGTAGTTAAGAAGTGCTTCGTTAGCCAGCATCTGGAAGATCATTTTGAAATGGCTGCATGGAGAAATGAAAAAAGTAAGTTTACAAACCCAACGACACTCTCCTAATAAAACAGAGTGAACAAACCTTTCAGCAGCGGCTGGGGCTACAGAGGTGCTGACAAGGCACTTCATGGAAGTTGTCAGAAGGATCTGTAAAACCTGCCTTCAACGAGCAGGTCAATGAGTTGGTCTTTGGAGGAAAAACCAACCGCGTTCAGGATCCAGTTGCCTTTTGATTTAAACTTCCCCGTTGAGTGAGAAAGTATGTGGTTTTGAAATTTGTTTAAAACCCTAAATAGTTACAGTGTTTTCTATTTTAATCTTCTATGCTACTGCCGTTATAAACATGCAGCGTGCAGTCAGACCAAATGAAACTTCGTGTGTCTCCTCTAGGAAGGCCATGTGTGGAAGCAGCTGAGACTGGTGTCTTGTGTTGCTTAACAAACCCTTTGTTTGGCCAATGAACTTGGAAATCACAGGCACTTTGTACCGTTCTATTTGTGTATGTGGGAGGTCTCTCTGGTCACCACGGTATTATGCGTGGAACAGTGGGCTCAGCTGGTTAACGTCACCTTTTCACTAGTCCTCTAGAAGCTGTGTGTCAAAGTATTAGGTATTTATTTTATAATGTCCATTGTGCTAAGGGTAATCAAGAACACTTCTGGAATTTTCCTCTCAAAGAGAAATAATAGGCTATTAAAAGAGTTTTAATTCTGATTAATACTTTTCATTCTCTTTCCAGGGAGGGGTAATGTGGCCAAATACTAGAATTAAAAAAACTCTTCTATTGCTCATGTTGAGGCTGTGACTAATATCTACTTGATAATATGACTGTCTTGTAGCAAAACTCATGCATCTACATTTTTATCCAGGAAACACAGTTTGACTCATACTATATAGGAAATCATGCAATAGTGAGTCATATCTTACTATGTTTCTAAATCTAAACGTTTAGCATGGTGTAAACCCGGCATCAAAATATTTCAGTGAATTTGCGCTCTTTAATCATCTTAGTTACTGTGTAAACTCATCTGAAATGTCAGGAAAATAAACTATGAAACAAAAATGGAAAATGGGATAGTATTTGATGAATTCCCCCAAATAACAGTTTCTAGAGTAGATATAATATTTTTAATAAGAGAAAAGTGGAAAATTATATTTATTTTGGCAGGCAAGTTTGTAAAGTGTGGTTGTATTATAATTTAGATGTCAAAATATTCAGTATAGTACTTGGTATTAGAACATTTTTTTCTTTCCGTACAGCATGATCTTCCAAACAGTAGAACCACCTTATTTATTTATTTATTTATTTATTTATTTATTTATTTATTTTGCAGTGCGTGTTATTACAGGATAGCTGTTATTTAAAAGAGAGAGAGAGAGAGAGAGAGAGATGCTAGTTTTTTCCAAGGTCTCATTGAATTGCTTACGCAAAACCATTTCCTATAAGTAGTTATCAAACTAGGTAATCACTTAAAGTGATTCCAAACCAATCTAGCATCAGACGCAATCTATGTCAAGTCAGCTCTTGTTTTTAAAAGAATAAATAAATGGTTTGTTTTTCTACTGATTTAAACATACCAGGCACAATTTAACTTAACTGAAATCTGGACATGTAAATAAATCTTCCCTGGATACAAGTATTCTAAAGTTAAGAGATTTTTCTAAATAGGATTAATTATGCTCATGGGTAATTCCTAAACATAAAATTCTGAAGTTACTTTGAAGCTGGAAGATTGATTTCTTTTATCAAATGACTATTTTTTCCTCCAAATGAAAAAAAATGTTAACTACAATCCTTCACTCCACCTTACCACTGCCCCAAAATTCTGGAATAATGCCTGAGAACTTTAAAAAAAGAAAAGGCACACTTGGACATAGTATCACTGGTAGGAACACAATGATTCACTCTGGGGGCCCAATATATAAGAATTTAAGCCATTTATTTAAGAACTGGTAGATTTCTAGTGCTTTGTTTCCTCATGTACTCCTGTTCCTTGCACTGTGTTAAATGGCTAAATCCTGTTGTTTTGTCGGCATATACATAGTAGGATCTGAACGTAAAAATCCTATGTAATAGTCAATCTTGTATTATTAACGGCAACTTAAAGGTAATGGAAAAAATTACTTAGAATAGATATGTAAATATTTCTTTTTTAAAAAAATCCCATCACATCAGATAGACCTGTTTACACTTGCTGACTCGTTTTCAAATTAAATAAAAAACACAGAGCTTGGGCTGGTATATTAGAGAACTGAACTGTGATTTTAAAAAGACAACAATTTTATTCGTTGTCCCCGATAGTCGGTGGGACGAAAAGGGAGAAACTACAGTGGGTTTTCACTTCAGAATGCCAGCCCTCACTTTGGGTGTCCAGGAACTAGATGGGCCGGCCAGGGTAGTCAGCCCTGAGCTGAATTGTTTCCAGTTCCCTGTGGCCCAGGTCCAGGGGGAACTGGGAAATTCCGGTACTAAAGTGTGGCTTGAATCTCCAAAGATCTGATAGACGCTATAGAAAGCCTCCAAAAGACCTGAATTTCAAAGAGGTTTGGATGCATGACAACCCAGAGCCAGAGCAAAGCTCTAGAAACAGCGCCAACCCAAAACCACCATGTTGGCAGAGACTATAAGCCCTGTGTGGCGGGCAGGGAAAATCCAGTCTGCATCACTACATTCTCAGTGTAATTCAGTTCAATTTTTGGCATCCCTGTCTGCTCATGCCAGCGCACTTTGAAAGGGTTGTTCTAATGTTCATGTGATGTCAGCTCTGATTGGAATTGAGAAAAACCCAATATATTCAGGTTTAAAATTTGATGACATTGAAAGGCAGGGGAAGACAATTAGCTTGCACTCATGTAAAGGTTTGTTTCTTTCATTTAGCTCAAACTCGTGGTTTTCTGAATTCAGGAAGACCCCCCACTTGAGCCATTTGCAGACGGAGAAGCAGTCTTCTCAGCAAATGAGAAGTTTCTATGTGTGGGCGGACAGTGCCTACTCATGTAGGTAGTGTTGCAACTTAAGTCTTTGATGACGGGTCTTCTGCCCCATCACACACTTAACTTCATTGGATTTCCTCCCTGAGGACACATTTATAACATAACTCCAATCATCTAACAGCATTAGAATTGATTTTTTTAATTCACAAAACATTTTTATTACCATACATGCACACTATGGAAATAAATATTATTTTAGCAAGTTACAACAGCTCTAGCCTATACAGGGGACCAAGGACATGGACTGGGCATTAATTTTTAGTTCAGAAAGTTACTTTTTGGGGGGGGGGCAGCTTTTACCATTCTTTTAATTGTTAAGTAAATTTTCTTGGATTGTATATTTTTTTTATTCCCTATAAAATGAATGTACTATTCAAGTCCAGTTCAGGTGGTTTAATTCTGTGATCCAGGTGCTTCATTTCTAAAATCTGCCACGAGTCAAATCAGTGTGAAGTTTCCAGCAAAAAAAGAAACAGCATGCTCCAAAGGAGTAACTGAGGACTACTGAATGAAAGGAATATTTACAGAGGAGTGGACAAAGTTAAAGGAATGAACAAGGGAGGGTGAGACGTCCCTCACAAGCTTTACCACTCCTCAGCCTGAAGGGACAAGGGAGGTGGGATCATCCAACTGGAACTGTAGCCTTACATAAGGAAGTAAGCACAGCCGTTGCCAAACCACAGGGAGGGAACAAGGGAACTACGTTCCTGGAAGATCTCTCCTCCTACTTTCTACTCTTCTGCCTGTTTCTCCCATTGGTGAAACCCAACTGTAATCCACAGAGTCAGGGGAGCCTAGGTAAAGTAGACCATGAAGGCCTTACTACACGGGGCGAGCAGATTTAGAGGGGAAGTGGAGAATATCCAGCATAAGCAAATGAAAAATATGTTCTTTCTTTTTTAATTGCACCAACACAAAAATTGTAACCACAGAGTGAGCAGCCTCTCTTCCTGCCTCCTACTCCACATATCCCCTAACAGGCTTGGGGTATAGGGATCAGCTCCATCTATATGAAAGGGGGTAAAATACTATAGATTCCTTCATCAAAATATTGGTCCTAAGCCCTGCTCTCCTGTGGCTCAGCATTTATATTTATCTAACTTTTATATAATTGGAGAAAGAGAAGGGGGATCAGACCAAAGCATCTTTGTGTTTCCCCTGCCCATAGCAGCATAGCTATCTCTAGAGAGAACAAAGAGAGGGAACCATGTACTCTGGTCTAGAAATGAACTGGAGCCTCATTTTTAAGGAGGACCACTAGAGCGAGAAAAAAATAACCTCACTTAGGGGCACCTGGGTGGCTCAGTCCATTAAGGGTCCAACCCTTGGTTTTGGCTGTCATGATCTCATAGGTTGTGGGGTCAAGCCCCATGTCAGGCTCCACAGTGGGGTATCTGCTTGAGGATTCTCTCCCTCTGCCCCTCCACCCACTCATGCTTTATCTCTTTCATAAATAAATAAATCTTTAAAAAAATAAAAATAAAAACCTCACTTAACGATGCAGGGCTGGTCATTCCCAAATTTAATATAGCAGGGATGGGTCTACACAGCTATGATAAAGAAAGAGTATATGTAGCAATTCTGCATAATTTTAAATGCTGACAAAAGTACAGGGAGAAAGCAAATTTTAGCAAAATGGTAAAAGAATAGACAAAGTTTGACTCCCAAGCCATCTGTCAAAGTTACCCTTTCTGCTACCAGAGGATCTGTCTATATTCTTCCTTTACTCCCATCTTTTCACCCCTTTTCAGAGCTCAACTTTCCTAGCACAGACCATCTCTTCACTGCCCACCACTGGGTCCCACGTCATTTTCTTTTTTTTTTTTTTTTAAGATTTTATTTATTTATTTGACAGAGATCACAAGTAGGCAGAGAGGCAGGCAGAGAGAGAGAGAAGGAAGCAGGCTCCCTGGTAAGCAGAGAGCCCGATGTGGGGCTCGATCCCAGGACCCTGGGATAATGACCTGAGCCGAAGGCAGAGGCTTTAACCTGCTGAACCACCCAGGCACCCCCTGAGTGATTTTCGATGCACACACTCAACCTTTGTCCTTTCAGCAAACTCTAGATTTATTCAGGGATTATTAAAGATTGGCCAGACTGCTGAGACCTTTTCAGACAAGTTATTTAACCTCTCTTCTTCTTACTTTCCTTGTCTGTAATAGAAGGATAATGAAATTATCTACCTCTTCAATTTTTCTGAAGCTCAAAGGAGTGAATACATGCGGGACCTTCAGCACAGTGCCCGGACATGGTAAATGCGAATAAGGTTAGGGATTAGTATCATCTCAGAAGCCCAGTTCAGCGGCCCCTGACCTCTTCACACACCTCTGGCTCGGAGCGCTCATTCCTGGCGGGGGTGGTGGTGCTTGGGGTCATGGCATCTATTTGTTGACTCTGGGTAACTGTCAAGAATAATGATGATAATAAGCATGTCAGACAAGTTTGTGTTTCAGAGAATGCAGCGTGGATTGGCACACACGGGACAGTGTAGAGGAATGTGTAAGCATTAAAGACAGGAGAGCAAGGGACACAGAAGGACAACAGGACACATAACATGGCTCCCGTCCACTCAACAGAGCCAAGTAGGGGAGCTTAGAGGAGACAGTACCTGAAATATTACTTGAACAGGACATGTTATGTGTTGGGAAACACACTCTATTACAAAGCTGGAACTGAGGGGCCACTGGGTCGCTCAGTCAGTTAAGGGTCCAACTCTTGGTTTCAGCTCAGGTCATGGTCGCAGAGTTGTGAGATCGAGCCCTGTGTAAGGTTCTGAGCTCAGCAGGGAGTCTGCTTGAGATTCTCTCTCTCCCTCTCCCTTGCCCCTCCCCTTACTCACACACACACTCTCTCTCAAATAAATATGATTTCATTTACTTATTTGAGAGAGAAAGATTGAGAGAATGAGTGAAGGGAGAGGCAGAGGGAGAAGCAGATTCCCTACAGTGTAGGAAGCCTGACATAGGACTCGATCACAAGACCCTGGGATCATGACCTGAGCTGAAGCCAGACGCTTAACTGACTGAGCCACCAAGGCACCCTAAATACAATCTTAAAAAAGAAAGAAAGAAGAAAGAAAGAAAGAAAGAAAGAAAGAAAGAAAGAAAGAAAGAAAGAAAGAAAGAAAGAAAGAAAAAGAAACTGAGCAGATTTCACTTATACATCATCTCCTAAAGATACCCAGAATAAGTCCAACCCATGTGCCACAGACAACCTTTCATATTCCTGAAAACAGCACCCAGGACCTCTCTAGGCAAATATTTCTGATTACTGCAGCTGTCGCTTATGGGACACCTCACCATTTTGGGGCC